AGTGGAATAAAATGGGATTTGGTTTAACAAATGCCCCCGCTACCTTTCAGCGTTGCATGGAAAAATGTATGGGTGATATGCATCTCAAAGAAATTTATTTAGATGACATTTTAATATTTTCTTCCACTTATGAGGAACATATTTCCAGATTAGAGTCTGTCTTTCAACAACTCAGTGATCATAATTTGCGTGTCAAGCCTTCCAAGTGTGAATTTTTTAAGTCTTCAGTTACATATTTAGGGCATGTTGTTTCTGCCAATGGTATTGCCACACACCCAAATAAGCTTTCAGCTCTACAAGATTAGCCTGTCCCTATAAATATAAAAACTCTTAGACAATTCCTTGGATTTACAGGGTACTATCGTAAATATGTCCCAAACTATGCCCAAATAGTACAACCGGCCTTGAACGAACTTTTACAAGGTCATGGTGACAACAAACGATCAAAGTGGTCTAAGAAAAAGGCTAAAACACCAGTTAAGTGGGTCTGGGGTGGAGCACAACAAAAGGCCTTTGAGTTAATTAAGGAAAAGTTAGTTTCTCCACCAATATTAGGTTATGCTGATTACTCCTTGCCTTTTATCATGCACACGGATGCAAGTACCCATGGTCTTGGTTCGGTCCCTTTACAGAAACAAGATGGTAAGCAACGCGTAATTGCATACGCAAGTCGTAGCCTCAGACCAAGTGAGCGTAACTACCCCGCCCATAAACTAGAATTTCTAGCCCTTAAATGGAGCATTACAGATAAATTCCATGATTATTTATATGGAAATGAATTTGTCGTCAAAACTGACAACAATACTTTAACCTATGTGACTACCACAGCTAAGCTAGATGCCACACAACATAGATGGCTTGCAGATTTAGCCAACTACAACTTTACTATGGAATATCGTAGTGGTAAGCATTACATGGATGCTGATGGCCTATCCAGACGAAATATTTTTCAGGATGAGCTTAAGGCTATTTACCAAGCTGTTATTATTTCTGCTCCTATCATCAACTGTACTTCAGGTGCAGCAGCCCTTCAGATGGCCACTGAAAGAGGCTGATGTAGCTGATTCAATTGCAAACATCGATTGGTTTAATGCGCAGTCCAATGATAGTACTTGAAGTCTTGTAATGAACTTCCTACGTAGCGGTTCCCTGCCCAGGGGGAAAGATACCAGTATTAAGGAACCTGTTGTACAAAAGTACATTAGAGAAGCAAATCGGCTTTTCATACAAAATAATATTCTGTACAGAACCGCTACATTGGATGGTCAACAAGTCAAACAGCTTGTCATTCCTGAATCACATAGGAACATTGCTATGAAAGGTATTCATAATGATGCCGGGCATCAGGGCAAAGAGAAGACTTTGTGGCTTGGTAGACAAAGGTTTTACTGGCCTGGTATGGAAAAGGACATTTTCAGTTGGGTTGAGAGATGCGACCGCTGTATCAAGCGTAAGACTCCATGTAACAAGCCTTTTGCCGAACTGAAACCTATCCATACTACCAGACCAATGGAATTGGTTTACATCGACTTCTTAAAGCTTGAGCCCAGTAAAGGTGGTATTGAAAATATCCTTGTAATAGTGCACAGGCTATTCCATGCAGGAACTAGACTGCAGCAACCACAGCAAAGGCACTATATGAAGGGTACAAATGTATTTTCGATACTACGGGTTCCCAGAGCAATTGCATAGTGACCAAGGTCGCAACTTTTTAAGTCGCACCATTCAGGAGTTATGCAAGATTGCTGGCATTAAGAAGTTCAGAACTACTCCATATCACGCCATGGGAAATGGATGTGCTGAACGTTGGAACCAAACACTCCTGAAAATTCTTGGAACCCTTGAAAACCACCAGAAGTATGACTGGAAGGCATACATAGGTCCATTGGTTCAGGCATACAATGTCACCAAAAATGATGCAACCGGATATGCCCCTCACTTTCTGATGTTTGGTTGGCACCCACGGCTTCCTGTAGATGCTTATCTAGGCACAGATCCTTCAGAAGAGCACACAGGGATCAGTCCTCTTATGCATCAAAACTCCATCGGAGATTGCAGATAGCATACAGCAGGGCTGCAAAAGAAGCTGGTAGGATGGCTGCCAAAAACAAGACCATATATGATCAGAAAGTGAGGCATACTCGACTTGATGTTGGAGATAAGGTACTGATTCGGACAGTTGGAGTGAAACGGGAAGGGACTAACAAGTTGTCAGATCGTTGGGCTGAGGAAATTTATATAGTCCTTTCTATACCCAATCCTGATATTCCCGTGTATAGAGTTCAGCAAGAAAACAAGAAGGGCCCAATTAAGACTCTACATCGGAATATGTTACTTCCCTATCCTTTCACTCAACTTGTGGAACAGGAGAGTATCAAACCTAGACCAGAAAGCAGCTCTCGCAAGAGAATTCCTAATAAGTTCAGGTCGATAGCCGATACTCTGTCCACTGAAATCGATGATTCCACTGATTCCGATTCTGATAATACCGAAACATTATACCTACCTCCACCAATAAGACCCCAGAAACGTCCTAAAGAACAGTCCAGTAGGTCTAAACATACTGTGTCTGTGACCCCAGTACCTTCAAAGGCTCTGGAATCATTTCAGAGTGACCCCTCTGCAGAGACCATTACTCTATCTGACCATTTTTCAAGAATTTATGGTTTATCACCACAATCGGAGACTGAGACTAATTTGGTAAGTGATCAGAAAGTTGGCTCCACCCCAGTACCTGACCCTGAACCTCCAAGTCCTCGTCCTGTAAGGCGCAGAGTCCCACCGCAGAGATACGGTGAATGGGTTACCCTTATTGTAACAAATCCTAGCCAAGATTTGGAAGTATTTGTATGATTATCATATATTATTATATAATGTAAAACTTTGAATTTACTTAATTAATTTCTTCACAGAAATTAAGGTCAGTAAACCTGATTAATCCATGTTTCTACTTTAGAAATAACTAGGAACTATGTCTGAACAAATCATATATGTTTTCATGTGTTCATATAGTTTAAAAAAAATTGTCTCCACATCTGACTTATGTGAACAAGTTGTTGTTTCTATGTGGAGAAGTTGATCTTGAGGATGACAGATTTATTATTGCATACTAGTACAAGTGTACTGTGATGCAACTTTAACTTTGCCTATCTATTGTAAATATTTGTAAATAGATTTATTTGAATATAGAGCTGAATCATATATATGAACTTATTTCAATTAAAGAAATTAATTTATTAATTTCACATTACAATTGAAAATTCATTATAAAGATATCAATGATTTATATTTGTCATTTCATAAAGACAAGAAATAGACATAATTGTTGTGTATTATTATACACATATGATTTATTGAAGATAATTATGTCCTGATGTTTTTATTTGAAACTAAAATATAATTGAGTTATGGAAATGTCAGGAGCCATTTTCTTAAAGGGAGGGAATGTGTAACCTGTGTATCGTTTTCTGTTTATCACTGGTATATTGTATCCTCCGTGTTATGTTGTATTTGGTTGGTATTCGCCTAACTGTTGTGTCGTCGTTTGTTTGCCTAACTGTGGTAATGTTTTGTATAGTCTGTTTCGTATAAGAGGTCACTGTAAGTTGTTGATAGTAGTAGTTACTTATTAGTAAACTTGAACATCATTTATGGACAGTTCTTGTATGCTGATCCTAGTAAGAATTTTTATATTTCTAATGTCATATTTATTCTTTTCCATTGATGAATCGGATGAAATGTATAATTTTATTATTTTGTTAATCAATTATTTGTAATTCCTTTGTATTTTGTTTGTATGCTCGTTTTTGTATGTCCGACAATAAAATGATGAAATAGAAGCAAGTCTTCAATCATTTATTCCCGGTTACATAAAACTAAATAAATAAATAGAACATCAAATTGACAAGGAAATCTATGCCCATTTCATTACTCCGTATTAGATGATTAAATCGGATACAAAATAAACAAACCGCCATTTGTTCATATGTTTTAGACTCAAGAAACATGTGTCATGTACATGGCACCATAAATCATTCTTTAAATGTGACCTTTGTTAATGGTTCTAATGAATTTGAAAAATATTCTTGAAATGGCGATTTACCAACAGTTGGTATTGGAAAATGGTATGGATAAAACATAAAACTGCTTAATATATAGAAACACTGTCCCACGTTTTCGATAGAAAACCTTGCAGGTTAATTCCGACGGATATTTACATAAATATCTTTTACCAATTAAGTGACTTATTTATGGTAAATTATAAAATTAAAAGGAATTATGGCTAAATGAATTGTAGTTTTGACTTTCAGCACACCGATGGTGGGACATAATGTCACTTTATGTATATGGAACATAGTTTCTTCTAAATAACTTTGTCGTATTGCCGGTCATTTGAAAATAAAGACAGACATTCTGCAAAATTTTATTGAAAATTACTACGCTACCCTTACTAGAAGGTGAAAACAGAGAAGCAAAATAAAACAAAACAGAATATTTTTGTCACATTAATAAATTTAAAAAATGTAATTAAGTAACACGAACAAAATAAACATACAAAAGAATATGATCACTGTTAACATACATGAGGTTTTTAACTTAATGATTTATAAAAACGTTTGTTCATTGTGCTTAGAACTTCTTTCATATAAAGATATTGTTTTCATTTAACCAGTCTATTCAAACATAATCTTTAAGTCGTAGTATTCGGTCATTAATCATTCAGTTAGATAGCCAAGATTTTATTTTGGATACCTACCACCCATTTGAGACAAAATTAAAAGTTTGTATCACATGCGATAACAGAATAGGTAATGAATGAAATATTAGCCATTTCACATTCCTAGCTTAAAACAATGCACACACATGGTGCAAGTTTTTTTAAAAAGTTTTTCTAGTTTTAAGAGACGATCAAACATATCAAATTTCAAACGTATAGAGGTAATCTTAATTTTAGTTGATATATATATATAAACAAGCTTTCTATTTTTTTTTTATTTCAGGGTGCAGGAGCTTTCGTAAGTTTGGGTTTTACTTTTATATTTCAAAAAGACATCTTTTATTTAAATAATAATTAAGAAAACAAAGATTAAAGTATATTTTTACAACTTATATGTACAACTTACTCTCAGATATGAGTTTTTGTGAATAGAAATGATTGCAACAAAAAAATATTTTAAGTATGAAATAGTGCAAAATTTCTTTCAAATACCACAATAAACAACAACAACATAGCTTATTACTGTATTTTGTTCTAGTTTAAAAGACTATCAAACATAGATCAAATTCAAAACATAAACTAAAATTTAAATTTTAGTAGATTTATTTTTTTAAAAAAATGGCTGTCTATTTTCTTTTTTAGGCTGGACTTCCGGTAAGTTGAGTTATACTTGCGTCTAGAACATCTTTGATTAAAATGATAATGATAAATAAAAATACCCAGAAGAGGGCGATTTATGGAAAAGGTTATTTCATTTGAAAATGTTTGCATTGCGAAATTTTCCAGTTCGCTATTCATTGTATATATCGCGACATTTCATTTTTAATTAATAATCCATATTATGACCGACGAAAAGGCTCGAGAAGTTGCTGTTGCCCTTTCACAAAATCTGATTTCATTCCATAAGAGGCGCCGCGCTTCGGCGCGGACGCCAATCAAAACAGACATAAACTGTATGCATTAATTCCTAATATTGTATGGTAACTAGTGTAAGGGTATTTCAAGGCGATTTAGCCAAGATGTAGATCATCATGCAATTTCGACCGCCTTCCAACTCTGCTTTATTTTCCTCTAATGGGGATTGAATTGGCGATCGTGCAAAATCATGTGAACAACCCTTAATATTTTCACGGTTGCTTCTGCGTTGAATGAACTGTAGTTTCTTACAAACAAAAATTAGATTAAGATGGCATAATCAACAAAGATTAACATCAGGATGTCATTTAATGGCACCATAAATCATTCTTTGAATGTAACCTTATGTTAATGTTAACGTTATCAAATTGAAATGAATTAAGAAAAATATTCTTAAAATGGCGATTTACCAACAGTTGGTATTGTAAAATAGTATGGATAAAATATAAATCCACTAAACCTATAGACAGGCTGCCCCATGCCTAATGATAAAAATCATTGCAAGTAAATTCCGACGGATATTTACAGAAATTTCTTTGGGCCAAGTGAGTCATTTATATTGAATTGTAAAATTAAAAGGATATACTTATTTTCACTTTCACTTGTGTACTTAGTGTATACCGTTGCAGGGGTATAATGTCACTTTATGTATAAGCGTGGACCCATATTTTCTTTTTAATAACTTTGTCGCCTGTCGGTCATTTGAAAATAAAGGCAGAAATTCCACAAATTTGTATTGAAAATAATGATTTAACTTGGGTCAGTTATAACCATGCATCCATATTTATGTATAACATTGTGATGGATATATATTTCTATCTTGTGGTGATTATAGAATACGTGATTTTCGGAATTTACTTTAAAAGCACAAATATATTTAGCTATTTGTCATTATTCCTTGGGGCCGCCACACCATGACGTTTTGGTCAACGCTCTCTGAACGTTTTATCGCGCAGATTTTGAGCGTTCTGGAATGAGGTTGACACATCTGGCAGGTGATTACCGTGTGTCTTACGCATAACAAGCGTGTGTCTAACGCACGAGAAGCGAGTAACATTGACCAAGTAAGATAACCTTGAAACCAATAAGCGTGAGCTAACGTGCCACTGGTGCCACTGAAGCCCGTGGTGTGAACGTGCGGCCAAGTCTAAATGCACTCACGAGAGAAAAATTAGATATGTCAAGTTTCAAATTGGCATCAATAAAGTTTTTCACTAATTTCACCGGGTCCTCACTATTTGGTTCGGGAATACCAGATATAATGATATTGTTTTCTCTACTACGGACCTCTTGTCTATACTTTCATATTCTAGTAAATGATTTCGTTGTTGTGTAACATCTAACGTGGCGCTTTGAACATATAAACGTGATTCAATATTATCATTTTTTTATTTTGAAAGTCCAAAATTAGACATCCCTTCTAATATATAGTTCAATATGTCGTCTGTTGGAAGCTTTTTAACTTCATTTAAGCCAAGATCGCTGGTTATCTAAGAGGCTGGTGGAGGTGGTGGGGTACACGACCTGTCCTACCTTTCCCCACCCGTTGAGTGACGCGCTCTCTTACATCGATTTATATAGGTCCAGGTGTCAGAAAGGGGTTCAAACCTGTTCATTGCATGCCTTTTTGGAACAGGGGAAGCATTGCATGTAAAGCTCCAATAACTTGTTTCCATTTTTTAATGATAAATAATGCGAAAATTCTATTTGTTTGCAGGACTTCAGCAAAACGCATCCGCCACGTTTAATTACCTAATACAAACACATGCATTAACACGGAAAATAAACGCAATAAATGGTTAGAGCGTAGTATTTTTCGTAAATAAAAAAAAGCTTCAGTCGCTATCGGTTCTTTATTTACGAGAGACATAAAATGTGCACTCAAATTTATATATGAAACATACAATTTGCACTGAAATTTATATTTATAGGCATTTGACGTAAATGGAACAACTAGGCGATTTTAAATATGATTTGCTAATGTAGTGACTTGATATATGACTAGGAAGGTCGAATGCATTACTGTGTTTAAAAAATCTTATTTTCATAGAAGTGGTAGCAAGTAAATTCCTAAATTTAAATTGTAACAGTCTTGTGATGTAATTGCGAAAATAAAAGTTGATACGCAAGCTTAATTACTGAGATTATCATGAAAGTACATATAATTTGAATGGCTTCCCTTTGATCATGTATAACACCCATATCGCAGGTTCTATCCTGTCTTATTATACACTTTAAAAGCAATAACATGAATCAATCTGTGGTTCCAGGGTAGAAAGACAGAAAGAAAGTCAGAAAAGAAGGAAGAAAGAAAAGATTAGACAACATAATCAGATTCATCAAGGCAACATAAAACAGTCATCTTTTACTGTTGTTTTATATACTTTATATTGTTTCTAAGTGTCTGGCTTGATGGTAGATCAGTCCTGCGGAACCGTACACCATAACAGAAGCGGAAATATTGACGCATCCTTGACTTTAATACCATTCTAAAATTATTACTGTAACGATTATCAGATTAAATTATATAAATATATTTTTGCAAGTTTTGATCTATGAACACGTGTTGGGATTTTATTGCAATGTAGAAATATATCTATTTACGAGGATGTCCAATGTATTCACCATTACTTCTAAATTGCTCATTCGTAATTGTAACGTTACGAAGTATTACTTGCATGCTCATGAACATATGTTGTGCTTTTTGTTCCAATTTAGAAATATTATAAAGATAGAAAACAAAATAAAAATTGCCTTGATCAAACATTGGTATAAGCATAAATGACATTAGAAATATTTGCATTTTTCAATAGTTATGAACTCAAGCAGGACACTCTATATTAACACGAATTTATTTTGAAGACAAATTTATTATTAACAGACCACAGGCTGTTGCGCTGTGAAAACAGAAATTTTCATAAGCAATCATCACGGAAATAATGGTTTATATATAATGCTGACAATTGAACGATCACAAAGTTATAATAAATCACAATATTAGGTGCATATGTATTTTATACGGTGTAATGTTACAATATGATATATAAAAAGAGGATATTCATTTTTTTATATAGATATAGGATTTATTTATATCAAGTGGTATGACATAATTTTCATATCGCAAGATGAAAATTAATCCTCTGTACCTAAAAAGAACTTGAATTTTCTGTTTATTATATACGTTTTCTCTTTTTTGGCCTCAAACTTCGTAAGACTTCTTTTATTTTGTGTATTGACTGAAGTAAGAAGAAAGTGGTCCAGCAAGACACTAGTGAAAATACGGAAAATATGTTTCACTGCAGTGATTTTTTACAGTGAAAATACGGAAAGTGAAAATATGCATCATACGTCGTCAATATTTCATTTATAAATATATAATAAATTATAAAATGCTCCTATGGTATAAACAAATAATGTTTTATCTCTACAGCAGCGATGTTCCTAAAATCTGTTAAGAGTGCATTTGTGTTTGCCATGCTTCATAGGAAATTGCAATTAAGTTGAAGACATAAAAATGTAATAACTAAATGGAAGCGAGTTCAAGGACTAAAAGTGATACATGTGTTGCGTGTTGAAACTTGAGATATATTAAGCTTCACAGCGTTCACTGGTATTTGAACATGAAGTTTGTAAAACAACTATGGGCCTTGTATACTTGTAGTGTTACATTCAGATGTAATTTTATTAAGTACAACTATTTCACACTTACTGATTTAACAGAAACTATATTTATTTTCTACCTTAGACAAGAATATTAATAAGTACATTGCGAATAGGAGATCAAAATTTAAATTTCAGTATTATACAATTTTGCGCTCCATAGACATTTTAGCGCTTTAAATACTTTCTAAGAGCAAACTATAATATCTAATTACAACAGTCTGCATAGTTAATGAAGCTGAATAAGATATCTCCAGAATGATTGCCAAATGTATGTAATATACTCCTTAAATCTCCATACCTTTAATGTCCAGGTGATCAGTTATTTGATTTATATAATAATGTTTCGCTTAGTTTATTCTAATTGTATTTGTACTAGATTTCAGAAACTTTAAAACAATAGCACTATCACATTTGCCAAATGTTTATCAAGAAAACACTGACATTTAACTCGTAAGGGACATAATGGCAAGATACAAAGATATGTGATCAAGTTGGAGGGTAATTAAGATTTTTATCATTGCCAGTTACAGTCTAATTTTTTGTGATGTTATTCACGGGGAAATGAAAAGATTCTATACATCCGCTCTAATAACGTTCTGAAAAATAACTTCTCAGACAGCAGTTATTACTGACACGTGATAAAACGATAAGATTATCAGAATAAACCAAGGCGAATTTTCAACGTTTGCAAAACATTGAACACTCTTTTAAAAAAAACTTCGATATTTGGAATCACCGTCTTATCTTGTCTACTGTTGTAACAGATATCATACAATAACAAATTATTCTTGAGTGAAAAATATCTTGCAATATTTATACACGCTCACTAGGTAACGGTTATTTCTTTACTGACAGAAACATAATTTCCACTGCTACTTTGTGTAACGGCTTAATTTTAAGACCTCGTAAAAATATATGACGTAAACATGAAAGCAAATCATGAGACTGTCATAAATGCCCAACCAAAATTATCTTTGTTAAAACACTAACAGAACATTTAGTATCATACACACCTGTTATTTTTTTTGTATCCCTTTCTAATATAAGTTTCAAATTTTTGTATTTTTATTTGTTTCAAATAACTTTGGATGGCAGTTATTTGAGAGTTTATTTTGTGGGGA